GGCCGAGCACGCGCCACCAGCCGCCCACCTCGAGCGCCCCGCGTCTGAGCCCAGCTGGCTCTGGGCATGCGCACTGGCACTCGGAGGCGGCCAAGGCTAATGCAATCTCCTGCTGAACAGCGGTGCAGGGCGCAGGGGCGCTGGCTTAAACGCGGCGCCAGTGGGCAAAATCAATGAGGCTGCGCCTTGAGCATCCAGAGTCCGGACAGCTGCCGGCCGGAGCCACAGTCTGCCAAAGTCACGCGTGAACTGTGACCGCGCTCGCCCCCGCGATGTCCTAACTAAAGAAAGCGGGAAAAAGGCGCGCGGAAGCCTGGGGGTGCGTCCTGGGCGATGGAGCCCTAATACCAAGGCTCGGAGACGCAACAGATAGTGTCAGCTTTGTAGAGACCGGGACATGGACACCTGACCGGCAGACAGACCAGGACCGTCATGGGGACTAGAGACCCGATGAGTTTGACAAAGGCAGAGGTCCTCGCGCGGGAGCTCAGCTCTCGCTCTCTCTCGCTCTCTCTCTGCAAGAAGCGGAGGATTCTCAGTCTGGGGAGCAGTGTTGGGTCGCCCACCCCCAATAAAAGTCCATAGGCCTCCATGGTGGCCTCGGTGCCTTTGAGAAGGTCAGAGCTCTCTGTGGGTCACAGCAGCAGGATTTGAATCACAGTGGCCCCTGGGATGTTCTCAAAACCCCTGAGGGGGCCTGGCATCACAAATGAGTTCAAAGCCTTATGGGGATATCTGATGTCGAGTTGCCCCTCGTACACTGCAGACAGTGCGCGCGCGTGTGCGTGTGTGCGTGCGTGTGTGTGTGTGTGTGTGTGTGTGTGTAGGAGGTGGTTTATTATGGAAGCCTCTGGGGGTTACAGTTGCCCAAGGCGCCTCCAAGCAGCTCTTCGGTGCCATCATCACACACGTCTTGTGCGATCCAGGCGTGAGGCACTAAGCAAGGGGGAATGTGGGGGAACAGATGGCTGCGCACCGACGCAAAAAGAAACCACCCAGCAGGCGGGTACGCAGGTGACCACGCGCTATGTGGGAGCAGTGCCCCTCCCCCGTTCCACCAAA